GACAGGCGGCACGGTGTCTCGCTCACATGCCGTCCTTCCTGACATCCCAAACTATCCCCTTATCCGGGAATTGATCCTGTAAGTCCATTCAGAAGCCACAGAGCATCAAAGAAGACTAAATGTCTTTTCAGCAACAGACTCGGTAGACCTATGACCTTTCGCCAAGGTTCCTATCACTGGGGGCCTAGTACTGCAGGATATGCCAGCGACGGAAGTCTGAATCTTACAACTCATCTCAAATATGGTAGTTTCCCAAAATAAGGGGACCCCAATATAGACCCCAAAATGAGTCCTTATTATGGGGACCCCCCAAAAAGGGTACCCCTAGTTTTGGGGAACCCCCACTAAACCCTAAACCCTAAACCCCCAACCCCATATCCACTTTTTGCGAGAAGCTCCTGCTTCTGTAACCGGGCCAGGTCCACGCAAGACCCTTGGAGGCAGTCCACGTTCTCCTCACAACGCCGGAAGCACTCCCCCGGAGGGTACCTCACCGTGTGAAACTACTATAGTTTAGCTGGGGTTATAAGGATAATGGAAAAGAAAATGGAAACTACTATAGTATGTTGGGGTTATATGAGGTTATAGGGATATTGAAACAGAGAATGGAAACTACTATAGTATGTTGGGGTTATATGAGGTTATAGGGATATTGAAACAGAGAATGGAAACGACTAGTCGCTGAAGGCCGGCTACAAATGGACAGGGAGCCATCCTCCAGCACCATTGCATTTGATAAGCCAAAACTGAGAACTACGGTGGATACTAAAAATCCTGCATGACCCTAGGTACCTTAAACCTTGGGAATAATGGTACTATAGTATATTAAGGTCATGCAGGATTTTTAGTATCAACAGTATCCGTCCCGAAGCTGTGCCTACGTACTGCAGGCTCCAAGTTCAACACTTGCACAGTAACAAGTCAAGGGCCGCGACATGTGACCTGGGGCTGAAACATGTAAGCAGCGCAGCTGTCGCAGGCGAAGCCAATGAAGCCAGGACTCAGAAGAGTTAACGCTCCACCGGATGTCGGGTTACTGCTACAGGGATTGGGAATCAAGGTCCAGAGGCTTCCATCAACAAGACAAGAATCAGAGTTCCTGTTGTTCTTCTCAAAAATCAAGCATCGACGACAGACACACACACACACACACACCCTTAAAAACTAGGTACACAATATGCGCAAACAAAGCTTCTGCAAAGGTGTGAAGACAAGGCTAGCCTCTGACAGTCAGCTCGCTGCTGAAACATTCTGTGATGGTCATCTTTACAGTACACATTGGCAAGAGAATGGTATGTATACGAACTAAACTTGCAAAAACAGTTGAAGCCATGCAGGCAAAGACAACAGGCTGCAAAAAGCATGAAGCCCAATAGGCAAAGCTCCGTGCTTGCAAACGCAGCTGCCATCCCCAGTGGAGCCGTCCATGCACTTGAACTGCCATGTAAGGACTTACTAGTGATTGCTAGTGGTTAGTAGGGAATGACGGAGCATAATCCCTATATAATCACTTTATAACCCCTATATATATATACATATATACATATATATGTTCCTTATTCCCTACTAACCCCCAGCACAAGTAAGAAGAGGCAGAGTTTCGGATTCTTGGCGCTTGCATCGTTGTGGCGTTCGTCTTAGCCAGTAAGTGTGAGAAACTCTTAGGAAATTCTGTTTGGGTATTGTAGTTTCCGTATATGGTGGGTCCCTACTGCATAGCCCGATATACTATAGTCCTTGCGTACCCATACAAGGACCCCTGCTTTTGGGAAACTATCGTATAAATCGAAGAATCCACAACAGGCCGGCGTCGCCGTGCCGGCTTCAAAGCAAGTGCAACTCCATCGACCTGGGGAGCTGGAAGACTAGTTTAGGGCTTAGGATAAAAGAAAAGCCAATGGAAACTACAATAGCTTTTAAGGCTTAGGGTTTAGGATGCTGGCAAAGACAAATGAAACTACGACATTATGCAGGGTTTGGGATACTGTAGAAGCAGATAGAAACTACAATATTCTTTTGGGCTTAGCGTTTAGAGCTGCCACGACTGGCATGGCAGTCGTCATAATATGACATCGTGCGACTAAAACCCAAAACCCTAAACCCTTATAAACCCATTAATTATGGTGGTTTCCCTTTTCTTTTCCATTTTTCCCATATACCCCCAGTATTAACCTTACTCTACTTTGAAGAAACCGCCAAACGAAGTCGGGAACTTCTTCTGTCTGCTGCTCACCATGATTCCGAGCACAAAGCAGTTTCTCTGAGGTTGCCAAACAGCTAAACCCTAAACCCTAAACCTTACCCAAGATGAGGGACCTGCAATTCCAAGGCGAGCAGCCCTTCTTGGTGATTGCTGGGGATATTTTGGTATCGGGTAGTTTCCCGAAATAGGGGACCCCAATACAGACCCCAAAAGTACTAATTATAGTCCTCATTATGGTGACCCCCCAAAAAGATACCCCTAATTTTGGGGAACCCACTTTTTCTTGATGCAAGGAACAACACCCACGACCAAGAGAAGGATAGAATCTTACCTATTGAGGACCATCAAAACTCTGCTCAGGTTACCTCTTGGTGCCGCTGTACGTGTGCCAGTATGATGTGGTGGACGTGCTTAGCAGCTAAATTAATTCAAGGCTGGGATTGCTCGACTCCCATAAAGTCCTAAATAAGAAAGGCACAAGTTCACCAAACCCTGAAAACCCTAAACCCTAAATAGTAGTTTCCATTGTGTTTTCCACTATCCCTATATAATCCCTGTATAGCCCCTCACCCTGGAATCATGTTGGGAGAAGCAGTGGTAAGGAGTTCCTTCCTGAGCAAGGGTTCTCTCAGCTGCGGACAGTCGCTGTCCCAGTATCCAGGCCTCAGGAAAACACAGCAAGAACACCAGAGACTTGGTCAGAAGGCTTAAAAAGCTTTGACACAAGAAGCTTCACATCAGCACTGAAAATCTCGCAAGGAAACTGACCGACATGTTGTAGACATGATCAGACCCAACGTAGCCATGATACTAAAGTTCCAAGATCATGGTCTTACGCCACCAGGGGTTACTATCATGATTATTGAACTGACCTCCAACCATGGTCACGAGCATCATGAGAAGAACGTAGATATCAATAAGACAGCGCATTCGACATGTCGCTTGTCCTTCCTGACTGTAGTCAATGGAAAACTGCCAAAAGTATGGTCCCCTTTTGGGTATCCTAAATATCCTGAAACCTAAGTCCCTCAACAGTACTAGAACCAGGAACCACGAGAGCGTCATACTTTTGACAACCTACCGGATGAGCTTCCCACTTGCACGTGCATGTCGGGGTCACATCTGTTGGGCTGGCCAGCGCACACTTCTCCGTGCCTCAGCTTCTGTTTGTAATCAAAGTAGCAGCAGTAGTAGTAGCAGTAGTAGCAGCAGTAGCAGCAGCAGATGCACCAGTAGCAGCAGCAGTACCAGCAGTAGTAGCAGCAGCAGCAGGAGCAGGAACAGCAGCAGCAGCAGGAGCAGGAGCAGTAGGATTAGCAGCAGCAGTAGCAGCAGCAGCAGCAGCAGGAGTAGTGTAGTAGTCGTCGTCGCCGTCGCGGTGGTCATAATAACAGAAACAAGGAAAATGACAATAGTTGCACTAAAATGATGATAGCAATAATAACAGAAGTATTAGAATTTATAAGTAGTGATAGCACTGATGGTTACCTAGCTTTGCCTGTCCTCTGGCAACCACCCACACGACCTGACTAACTTCCAGTCAACTTCCTGTTCCACATGGCAGATGGGTAGTGTTGTTTTGATAGCTGAGCCAAGTAAGATTATAAGCTGTATGCCAAAGACTATACTCCAAAAGAAGGATATATAAGTGTATATGCTCTATTTTATCCCAAAAGAAGGATGTATAAGCTTATATTGCTGTATGCAAAATACTATACCCCAAAAGAAGGATATAATCTTAGTCTATTTTGGGGACTATAGCATCCCCAAATAAAATACTACTCAGACGAAACTGAAGAGGCTAGGTCGTACTCCTACTTCAGTTATTGCCATCGTTGTTCCCGTTGCTTGCGCCATGATTACTTACCTTTACTACTATCCCTATGATTCCTATACTTCCTATGATTCCGATGATTACGATAACTACGATGAGTACGATGATGACTAGTGGAGCCATAGTCTAAACTCTCAGTCCCCCAGTGGTCCACTATATAATCCCCCATAAAGCCCCCTTTGAGGAGTTCAGACCCTAGACCCTACACCCTACGTTATATGATATCATATAACTCCCCTTTAAGGCGCTTAGACTATTGCTCATGGTAAACTACTACCCTGATTGCTATTAATACTGCTGGTGGCATAGAGGGCGGCACCTGTTGAAACGCAGTGGCTCGAACCTGAGCAGGTGGAGATTCAATGCCGTTTAGGGTTTAGGGCTTAGGGTTTACGGTTTAAAGTTTAGGGTTTAAGGTTTAGGGCCTAGGGTTTAGAGCTTTGGGGTCCATTGTGTGGACGCTGAGAGTCAAGACCTGCTGAAAACAGGGGTCCCCTAGGGATCAGTTCTGATATGCAAAGATTAGAAGAGGATGGGAACCCCATTAAAGGTTTGATATAAGTCTATGTTGTTGTGCTAGCTCTGGCGAGACCCTGCTTTAGTGCATCCAGAGTAATTAAGGACTGCAACTATAGCATGTCGAGGTCCTGTTACTCATCTAGTGACTACCCACCTGGGACTGTCCTCAATGGTCACCCAATCTAGCCATTAACATTCACAGCATAATCGAAACACCCTCGAACCGCAAACACGAGGCTCGCGTCAGTGGGCAGCTTCTTTTCGCTACCCATGGATGGGATAGATTATGTCAGCCGAAAGCAACCTGCAGCGTGAGGAACCGCTCATCGAACTTCTCTCTCGTGTCACAGCTGCTGCAACACATAAACTTAAACGTAGTCATTGCCAACGTTCAAACATTAGAAGACACTATATTGAAAGCGCCGCCTGTGCGCTGTTACATGCTCACTCCTCGCACTCATCATCAGTCAAGTCTGAAGACCCGCGCATGGACCACTTCTGCGAATCATCAGTCACTCCATCATCAATGAGCTGAATCATCTTCTCCATGTCCGCCTCAGAGTACAAGGAGGGCAGGGAAGCATTGAAGCCAAGCTTCGCCTCCAAATTCTGCCGGATCTCCTTGAGGCCGGCCATGGCATCCTTCATCTCTTGAACTGCCTTCAAGCGGCGGTGTTTGATCGTGGGCACCGTGTACAGGGAGCTGATTGCAGCGCCCTTCGCTGCAGACACCGGATTTGCCTTGAGGATGCTACCTTTTGCACAGCCCGCATGCACAGCTGCACCGAAGGGGGCGATGGCAGCGGCAGCGGTGACGATGCCTGAGATGCTTGCGGCGCACAGGGCGCTGACGTCCAGCAAGTCCTGGCAGTGCACCACGATGAGATTGATGAAGACGACGACCTGACACCTTGTTGATGGGTCCCTGGCGGTTTACACGGCCGCAGAAGCCGCTGTTCACTGCCGAGTTGATGGAAATTCCCATGTTTGCAATATTGGCAACCACCATACAAACGTTCACCCATGGCGTGGGAAAGCACAGGGCTTTGTGGCAGCTTGAACCAACAAAAATCAGAAGTTCAAGGCCGTGTGACCCGTGTGGCGCAAGCAGCTTCGGGCTCCATGAAACACAAGAAATCTGGGTAAATAATAGGGTTTCCCCAATATAGTAACTTAATTTAAGTTCCCATAATGGGTGTATATATATATAGATATATATATATAGTAAATCATAGGGTTTCCCCAATATAGTAACCTAATTTAAGTTCCTTAACAGCAACCCAGAAAACAAGGTCAGAAGCTCAGGATCAAAGGAAGAGCTGAGCTGAGGCAGGCGCAGACACCGCTGCAGTCCGAGCTGAAATGCTCATTGTCGCACTGGCATTCCGCGCCTTAGCGTGCTCTCTAGACTCTCTGGCCTTTGACCCGGTGCAAACCCTGTGCAACTTGAAAAACTTCAAAGGCAACAACTCTTCGCTCACGAGTTGGAAGGGCAAACAAGACAGCCAACGAAACTATCCCTCTTCAGCCCTGAGTCGGGTAGATCCTTTGTCTGTTTGTGACAGCACTGAAGAAATTCCAGGCTCTGGCTGATGGGATCGCAAACACCAAAGCCCGAGCAGGTCGTAGCGGGATTACAGTAGCCTGGACACGCAATTAGAAAGGTTTGGGCTTCTGGGTTTCGCAGCCCCTCTGCTGACTTCCCGTAGCAACCAGAAGAAGACAGAGCATCCACGAGAAGGGGGGAAAACGTCAAATCAAATCGTGGGTGGTTTTCCAGCCATGGGGTGAAGTAGAACCTTTCATAGGGACAGCGTCTGAGAAGTTGTCTTCTCGGGATGCAATACGGCTTCTCAGAAATACCCACTTTCACTCCATACTTAGGCCCCCAAATCAAGAACCAATACTCCAAGTAGCGCTTTCCCAACATAGGGGACTCCAGTATCGACCCCAATATACTATAATTCCTCTTATTGGGACCCCCAAAAAGGTATCCCTAATTTGAGGAAAGACCAAGTACTGCTTAGTTCAGGTCAGGGTGTTGTAAGGGAAGGCTGCAGCTTCACGGGCAGCTCCAGTGCATTTGCTCTGGGACAAGCCTTTTGCACAAAACCTCCTTCTCTGTGGGAGGGTCCGGTTCTTGCTGCTTGGTGGCTGGTTGGGGGATAGGGATCCTTTCAATATAGCGGTTATAGTCCCTTGGTCCCCACCAAGCACCAATATGACTATGTGCTAGGAATGGCCCTCAAGTTCCGACGGTGACAGGTTGCAGGGAACATGTTCAGACTCATCCAATGGTAGCTTCCAATACCAGGGGGGAACCTAACAAAGACCCCTAGATATTCTCATCCTCATTCTGGAGACTACCGTAACTTTGGGAAACCCGCCCTAAACTCTAAACCCGAAAACCTTAACCCCTGTAGACCTTTATTATGGCACCTAATTTTTCGGGGTACCGAAATCGGGTCCGAATTTTGGGAACTACCCTACTATCCCTCTACATCCCCCTAAACCAGCCTTTTTTGGTAACTAAACCCCAAATCCTAAACCCTAAACCCCAAACCCTAAACCCTAAACCCTAAACCCCAAACCCCAAACCCTAAATTTGAGCCGTGAGATTTCTTGGCATGCAGGGTCTCATGGAACTTGGGGATGCTCTGAGCTAACATGAGGCCGACGTCCTTCCCTCGTAATCCTTCTAGGGTTCTAGGGTGTTAGGGCTTAGGGTTTAGGGTTTTAGGGCTTAGGGTTTAGGGTTTTAGGGCTTAGGGTTTAGGGCTTAGAGTTTAGGGTTTTGGGTTATATGGGATCATATGATCTGTATTCCCTATATGATCTATAGTCTACACTCCCTAAAGAAGGTTATATAGGGGATTATATAGGGTTTAGGGTCTGAACTTTTTAGCTGGGGCCTCTTCGTAGGGGAATCTATCAGGGAGTATTATAGGGGTTACTGCGGGGCATACTAGGAGTTTAGACTATAGCTCATACATAGGCTATAGGCGTATATAGGGCTTAGGGCTTTTAGACAATGGTATGTAGGGATATAATTCTAAGGATTACAGAGGGCTTATATAGGGGTATACTTCCCAATCATGGAGAATCCGGTGGAAAAGAAAGGAAGATTAAATGGAAACTGGGATTATATGTAGATTAATCTATAGGGATTAAGGCTTCCAAAAAATCAGTGTCCCTTTTAATTTTGGGGTCCGCATGTCCAGGATTATAATGCATCAGGATGTATTCTGATGCCCCTAAATTCTCCAAACTCCCACAATTGCAGAGACATCAAACCCCAAACCCTAAATCGTAAACCCTAAACCCTAAAAGGAAGCCACCCTCCGCCTCACTTCTGAAACATGAAAGACCACTCCTCCCCCCCCCCCCAGCACAAACAGGGCGGCTTTTCGTGAGCATGCTTCAATAACCATCCTGGACCAAGCAGTTGGAGCACACGAACTCTAGGGCTGTTGAGTCGGGCGAGAAGTAATGAGCAGATAACAGTACTGACTGCAATAACAACAGTATTAACAGCACAAGAAAGAATAGAACAACCTGAGTAATAGTAGTAAAGGCAGTCATTGCTAACTGGCTCCAAACTCCAGGAGCATCCACAGAAGCATCCCAAGCAAAAGCTGCAAGCACAATCACCAGGCGCAAAACCCTTGAAAACTTCCAGCGGGCAGTTCCCAAAATAGGCTTTAGGGCTTAGGGGGATGCCTAGGGATGTAGGCACAGATCTCAAATTAGGATCCCAGTTTGGTACCCCTTGATAATAGGTGCTGTAACCTCATCTATAATCAAAACGTGCCCATGATGCTGAGAATCACCGCATTGCAATGACGACTGCTAAGCTCTGCCACCTATGATTCTTGCCATCTCCTTGTCTCTTGACCAGGCACGACCAAACAGCAAAAAGCGTCAGAATGGAAGGCACCGCTGATAAACAGCCGAGTGCCGGACACATCAGGCTCAACATCACCTGCAACGCCAAGTTTATAGAAAATAAAGTGAGTTGCCACCAGGCGATTTGAAGTACCGCCTAAGGACCCTGCCTGGAAGAATCTTTGCTGTGGAAGCATATGGTGCATTGGTGCATAAGCCCGAAGCAGCAAATCTTCAGGCTCCGGCGTGACAAAATGGATGATAGGCTGTGCACCCAAGCATGGCCATTCATCACACTCGCACTGTAGTGGAAGGCTCACACAGGGAAACCCAAGCTGTAAATGACTGAATAACAACTACCAGTATATTCCCCTTACAGCTACAATCTAACCCGTCTATTCTGATTCAATGGGTCTTTGCATTGCATGAAGCCGTGTAAGCATCTCTAGACTCCCACAGCCATCAAACTGCGGCATCGCCTGTGACATTCAGCGACACGTTGACCGTCATATTTGCGAAGCAGCGCTTGCGCCCTCCACAGGTTGGATTGAAACTCAAGGCTGCAAGAGACGAGATCGATGGAGAGTGCTGAACGGGCAAGGGAACAAATTCCGTGCTGCTGTCATTGGAGGACTATAAGGGGAAGAACGCCCTGGTATATCTTTCAAATGAACTGGAGCTAAAAGCAGACTTTAGTTCAATCCAAGGCCAAAGCCTAGCAAAGGGGCATCGCATCCCCCTTTCAGTACAAACTTGTTGCGATTTTTGCGGGGATTCCTACGAGTACTATTTTCTTCTGCTACTACTTACTATTATCATAATTTGTTCCCTGAGGAGTCCGTCTTTTGAAAAGCCACTCAATAGACTTTGATCCATTCCCCATCTAGCGAGGGGGTTCCCTGAGGAGTCCGTCTTTTGAAAAGCCACTCAATAGACTTTGATCCATTCCCCATCTAGCGAGGGGGTTGATGCAGACCCTATGGATCGCAGGATGTCGCTATTTATGAGGTTTTGGCATGCGGGTTTAGCGAAGAATAACAATAGTAGTACTAATAACAACAAGAGTAATAACAGCACTAATAGTATATAGTAAGCAATAAAAAAGAGTAGAAGTAATCATGATAACAGTAATCATAGTAGTAATTAACAATAAGTAATAACAAGAAAATACAAGTAACAATAGTTAAGAATAGCACAAAAAATGATTAATTATACTTAAAACGCAAAAAACTAAGAGCAGTAACAATGGTAAGAATAAGGATGATGAAAAAATGGGCTAGCAGCGCATCGTGGCACCCTCGACCGGCCTTCCGCCGAAACCTCAGAGTCTTTACACGCTAGTGGAGATATGTAAGTGGGTCTTGTGAAGAACGGACAGCTGTCACTACGGTTGACACATAAAATACATAACACCTAGTACCTTATATCTTTGGAATTCAGGTGTTCTAGTATGCCAGGTCCATGCTGGATTTCTAGTATAAACTTCGTCGTGGACTCTGCAGAAAAACATCGACCAGCCACTCAGGAAGGACTCAACATTTCGAGTCATAGGGGTCAGGTATAGAAATGCGTTGTTTCCAAAAAATGCGGGTCCAATTTCGGCAGCCCTTAAACGGGAAGTACATCACCTGAGCTATAGTCTAAACTCCTAGTATCTTAATAAGCCCTATAGTACTCCCCTACATAATCCCCTATATAACCCCCCTTTAAGGAGTTTAGACTATAGCTCACCTGGCTTGGTGCCCCACGTTGGAGTTGTTGAGCACGGTGGTGTTGTCAGTTTCTGTATCGCTCCTTGGCTCTGAAAATTGTGCTTTGGTTATATTGGGATAATTGAAAAGAAAATGGAAACCATAGGGATTATAGGGATTATATAGGGGTTATATAGGAATGCTATATGGGGGTTTCCCAAAATTAGGGGTACCATTTTGAGAGTCCCTATAATAAGGACTATAGTATTTGGGGGGTCTATATTGGGTCCTCTAATTTTGGGAAACCATCATATTGGAATAATGTAA